GGAAGTTCTCAAACGAAAGGAAGAAAATTAATCAGCTAACTTAGAACATGATTATAAGGGTTCAATGGGCCAAGAGGAGTACTAACACCATGGCTGRCACTTTGGCTAAACAGGGGGTGGGAAGAACAAATTTCTTTTGGGCTATCTTGTAATATGTGTTTTCAGTTTGGATAGGGAGRGTTAAGACTTTTTACCCCTCCATTTTGGTTGTATTTTTCATATCTCTTTTAATAAAATTACTATTATTGATAAAAAAAAGAGCTTTCCCTTTGGCCTCGCCTCTATTAGACAAGGTTCATTGCCATTTTAGGTTAAACCTTTCTATCTAGTAAGTGCTAACTCGTCATATCATGGACCCCAAGGTACCGTGAAAAGAGTCTTCCATTTTAGGATAGGCCTTTCCTACATCGGTCTATGGCGCCCCTATCATCTCATGAAGCAATCCAATCGACTGGACCAGCAAGTGGATAGCCCAATTTTATGGTGCATCTCCACCCACCAATTCAGCCCGCCTTCATGCTAATGACGAAAGGCCTATAGAAAATTCATCATATGATATTCCCTATCACTTGCACTTATATTAATCTGGAGGGAACAAATTAATACAGTCCCTAGGTTTGATTTAGGTCATACCAAAGTGTCTTCCACTAACTTTCATAAAGTCAGATTCAAATGGGCCCAAAACGAACTAGGGTTTCGTAGGGTTCCTCTTGGGGGAACTGACCAGGGGCCCATTGAGAAGGGAGATCATCCAATGATCTGTGGGCATCATGGCAATGATGTGCATTCAGCCATGATGTTTGCAGAGAGCCATATACGATTAAACATGGGCCAAGCACTTATGGCCCATGTACGAATCATATTCAGCACATCACATACATTAACATCCACAAATTGATCCAATCAATTAATAAATTGTAAAGATCCTAATTAGTTTAAGTTAACACACAATCAGCCCATTAAGCCCATGTATTATCAAATAACAACATCTAGGTATATGGGCTAAACTGCAAAAAGTAGTTTGGCCCATATAGCAGTTATGTTGAAAATGGCCTGATGTTGCTTTAACTTAGCAAAATTAGGTCTTACAAGGGAGGGCCGAATTGTATCATGTGATGGACTATCAAACCCTTGGCCCATAACCGAATTTAAGCCACTTAAAACATGACCCATGGGGTTGAGATCAGACCCCATCAAACCATGGGTTTGGTCTAACTAGTTTGGACCAAACTAGGTCAATTCGGCCTAGGGTTTGGTGTCCAAAACATGTTACAATTTCCAAGATTTTGATATGAAATTATTAACAGTTGAAATTGACATTCAATCACAGCAAGAAACACATAACGTAGGGCTGCAAGTGTGATGGTCTGAATTTGATCCGGACGAACTGCAAACTGCAAGAAATTGTTAATTAGATTGTAGATTTCTTTTTTGCAAAATTTCTCCTTCTCTGCGTGCTCCAGCAAGTCTTCCAATGTAAAAAAAAAGAAAAACCTAATTTTCTATTAATTATATCAGAATAAATCCTAATACATTTTGTCTAAAAATAAAAAAATTATTTACAGACCAAAATTGAATAAATAAATTGCAAGGTGCACAAATCTTGGCGCCAATAAAGAATTCGATTTCCATCACACCAACAGCCCAAAAATTCAAGAAACAATAATAGAACAATTCTAAAAATATTGCAGGATATTATAAAATTAATTTTAGATCAAATCGCTCAAAACTAAGAACCATTCTACCGATTTCTATCTGCTTCAAATTTGATCTAAATTTGGTTCAAGATTGAACTTGGCTCTGATACCACTGAAGGAAGGGGAAATCCATCATATGGATGGCCGAACCATGCTAGATGGCTGGGCGAAATTTCAAAAATTTCTTTTCTCCCTTCCAGGAATCGTATTCCCAGTTTTAGAAAATTTGCATTTTCAATGATCGTTTTTGAACCAAACCGGACCAGATCTGAAACCAAAAGAAATGGAGAAGAATACCTGATATGGAATCCACACGTGTAGTTCCCAAAGTACGCCCAAAGAGGGTACCAAAACCTGCTTCCACTGAAGATGGTGCAGCTTAGGATGAAGCAGGTTCAACAGTGCAGTCCTTCAACAAGAATTGCAATCCAACAACTTGGATCGAGCAAGGGAGTATGAGCACGAAATCCGATATGATTTTCTTGCAGAATCAGAGGTAGGAACTGATCTCTATCATTCCAAAAGGTGGAGAACGAATTGGGTATGTATGGCGGCAAAAGCAGAAGGAGAGAGGGAGAACTGAGAGCAGTGATGTGTGTGTACTGGAGAAGTTCACCCTCTCCTATTTATAAACCTTAAAGAGCAGCTCTCCTAATCCAATTAGAAGTTTCCTAATCCAATTCTTTATTTGGATCTGGACTGTTTAAGTGGATAAGGCTTATCATCTTATCCCATCTGCTGATCCAAACCCATATCCATACCCAAATTCGCTCATGTCACATGATTGCTTAAGTTGTCATGTGACACCCTAATTAATCCAATTAATCATTGGGCTTTAGGCCCATTAAGCAGGTAGCTCACGTCCCTTATTAATTGCTAGCTAATTTGGTTCTCTTTGTATGGTGTGGGACCCTAACAATTACCTCACAAAAGTCCATATGGGTTCAGCCTAGCTTTTGTAACAAAGCCTAGCCGAATTCACTGTTGACACAGTGAATTCCTGAGCYCATCACTATGGGCTCTTAATGGGCCCAACATTTACACTAAATGGTCCTTAGGTCCAGCCATCCTATGAAGGCCGAAGGACAATGGACTTAAGTGAGATATAGCCTATCAGGTATAAAAACCCTAAATGGTCTTACACTTAACCTCTCAACCCTTAATGATCAAACACTGCTCGACAAGAGAGGACTCGTCCCTTGGCTGCAAGGTACAGTGTTGCACTCTCTGCTCAGATGGATCCCGGGAATTAAATCTTTTGCAAACATTTTTCTTAAAACATAAAAATATATATATATATATATATATATATTTTCATATAAATATATTTTTTTGCAAAACAAATCTCAAACAAGTTTGAAATCAACTGCCAGTAGTTTTGGTTTCCATCAGAGAGAGTGCAATCCCGATCATTCACTTTGTCCGACAAAGGGGCTGATCTTGTCACTATGTTCACCCACTCGAGTGAATTCTCAGACTGCCCCAGCATACCCAGGTTTTGACCCCCTCTAAGGATCTCACTGATTGGCATATTAAAGACAACCCAATTCGGCACCTAGTATAGTACCATAATTGAGTCTAGGGGTTAGGTGTAACTTTCTAGTTTTGCCCACCAATCTCCAAGGTCCATGGCATAACTGGAAAATGGTCCGGGTTCATTGTTTCAAACAAACACACACTACATGTGCTTCGGGTCTAACCTTGGCAGCTGAGATAGTTACCCCAACCTACTTGGCAGCACATTAGTGTTAGCCTTGGCAGGATAAACTTCCCCAAGTCTTTCCAACGGCTGAGAACATTCTAAACTAACACGAGTCTCATAAGTGTCCAGTTTAAGGGCAATTACACAGAAATACACCATATATAACATGAATCAATTATGTACTTTTATTCATTTACAATAAATGTTTATATACATCAATCTGATTAGAGCTAAGGGCATACACTGTGTAACATGTATATGAAGGGATAGTAGCCAGGGTAAAAACTCAGGAAGGGAAGATGATAGAATTTCCAATAATGATGGGTTTATAACAAGGGTCAGCAATTGGTCCATGTATTTTTGCATTAATTATGGGTAAAGTAACTAAAGATTTACAGGAGGGAGTCCCTTGGTGTATGTTGTTTGTTGATGATATAGTTTTAATTGATAAAGAATAAAATAGCTGAATGTAAAGTTAGGGCAGTGAGAGCTGCTTTAGATTCGGAAGATTCAAGGATAAGTTGGGCTAACACAGAAAAAATGTATGAAAGTTTAGTAAAAAATATAAAAAATAGTGGTGGTGCAATTAAGGTTGATGATCAGGAGACACCTCAACTAACCACTGTCATACCTTTGATCAGTCATCCATAACGAGGGAGAATACCTTTGATCAGTCAGTCCAGCTCCCACCAAACCATCTTTCAACCTTGAGAATACCTTCGTAACATGAACCACATTGAGCTTGTTTGAAACTCTGGTCTTCTTTGGGATCTCTGAAGCCTCACCACTTCGAGCCATACTCTTCTCCTTGCCCCTGCGACCCAATTCCATTCCCAGTCTTCCAACAACCACTTTGTACCCCATAATCAGCATCGTTCCTAATCAATGTGTCTTGGAATTCCAAATCAATCCCCTTCTCGCCCTCAACTTCTGATAAGCCACTTCCTACCTCATTGTTGCTTCCTTCCTCCCCTTCCTTGGTTTTGTTGTTCGACCCTTCTTTCACCTTTTCTACTCTACCCTCACTCACTTCCTTTACTACCAACTCCCTCTTCGAGACTTCCTCCTGACTCAGCTCTGAGCAAGAAGATGAAGAATGAGGTTCTTGCATACCTGGGCTGGGTTTGAATGTTTAAAACTTCTCTATTGCTTGATTGATGTTGTGAAGGACATCATTATACCTCCTAATTTGCATTCCTAATTCTGGGTGGTAGAAAGATTTTGTCAATGAATACAATCTGTTTGTTATTGATTAAAAAGAGAGAGACTGCTTTTGGTATCCATCCAAAGTTTGCCTTCCTGAATTTTCCTACCCCTACTCTCCCCCATAAGGCTTGTTGCTCCTACCCAATCTTCATAATTATTTCCCTAGAAGGGCATTCCTAATTGTGGTTTCTTCCTAATTAAGCTTCCTTCTGAATGTGCCATCTGGTGATTATAAGATTTGACATGTAGATTCTAGAATTTCAGATTTTGAAAAATGGAGGCACGTGCATGAGTTAATTACTAGGTCTTTTGGCTATTACTTTGCATAGAAAGACTGTTGAGTACTACTGGGTGTCATCACTAATGGCTTCTATGGTATTTCTTTGTCTATGCAGAGAGGATGACTGGTGCATTCAAGGAAAGAATAATACTCTTTCTTTTCCATCATATTACATTGATGAAAATGTAATTGTCCTCTGTGTCGGTCTCCTGATGGTTTTGTTGCTATTTATAGTTAAAGGTTTTTATTTTTTGATGAATGAGTTAAAGGTTTTCTTTCCATCTCATTCTTGTATGGTTTCTCATTTTTTTAGGCAGTTACCTGTTTGGACGGAGATAGTTGCAAAATACGAAGTGGTCTGGCAACAATTAAGGAGGATTCAAATCTTGATACATCAATTGCTTGTGATTCATGTGATATATGGTAAATGCATTTCTTCTACTAGCAAAGACCTACTCTGTATGGACATACTAATACCATTAGTTGCCTGATCAAAATAACAAAAATCAATACCATTAGTTTAGAATGGATAGCGGTGCATTCAGATTAGATTTTTATATCATGCAATCTTGTTACTTTACCTACATTAGCTTCTCTAGTACAACATAATTGCTTTTAGCTATATTCTAATCAATTGCATGAAGTTTCAAAGAATTCAAAGAATTGAGAATGTACAATGTTGTCATCGTATTTAAGTTTGTTTTACTTGACCATTCATTTGCCCTATAGGAATTTAGTATCATTGCTTGCTTTGACCATTCTGATGCAGCTCATTGAAGGTGTCAGAGATTTTATGCCAATTTATGAAATATGTGCTATTTAAATACTGTATTTCGGAGTTTCACAGAATCTAGAGATCAAGGGGTGAAATCATTAGACCTATGCCAAGCTCATTTAACTCATTTATCTACTGAGCTGAAAATAATTTTTGTGCTATGGATATGATGGTTGAGCAGTGTTGGCGGTACAATGTTTTCTAGTACAATGTTCTAAATGTGAGGTACTGATGCTCTTGTTTTTGGTAAAAGGAAAAAAAAATTGTGCCACTACCATTTCTCATAATGATGAAGTCAGAGATTCTTTGTGAGAATATAATTTCCACAATTGTTAGAACCAATGTTCAGAGAACCGGACCATGCACAGAACTGAAGGGAGAGGCACATATGTTTTGAAATTTCAATTATTTCATAGCCAGGGTGGTTTCATGAAATCAGAACCGGTTCACCAATTTTTTGGTTAAACTGGCCGGTCATCCGTTTTCACCAGGTTTTTAGCAATTCTGGTTCTTGGGGTGTGACCAAACCGACCAGGGCCCCGAGTCACGGTTAAATCAGTCCAACTGGCCAGTCCGATCTGGTTTCCTAAACATTGGTCAGAACCAAGTTGGAGAGGGTCAAGTCATACCAAGTTGCAGAGGATTAGCAAAGAAGAATTTGACTAATTAAGTCAAACCATCTACTGTACTATTAAGAGGAAGTGCTCTGTTACAAGTTGAAGGAGCTAGAAGAGCTATGCAGACCAAAAGGAATATGGTTTGAAGTAATGAGAAATGATTTAAGGGCCCATAATTTAATAATAGATATGATACTTGATGGTATGGAATGGCAGAACCAGATTCATGTAGCTGACCCCATATAGTTGGGAGTTGGGACATGGCTTAGATGATGATGATGGCAGAACCAGATTCATGGTTGAGGGGTGATCCTCAAATTGTTGATTCATGTTGGTTGAGGGGTGAAATAATGGCTTATCTGTGATAATCATCAAATTAAATGAACTTTATGATTTCTAGTATTTTTTAATCCAAAAGGTTTTGGAATTCTCTCTTAAGTTTTTTTTATGAATGGTTTCAGACTTTCAGTTTATGGCCCTCTCATGTACTATCTGTTTTATCTCCCATCATTTTTTCTCTGCAGAACTTTCCTTCATTCCATGTAATGGGAATTTATTTTAGCATGTAAAGAATCTTTGATGGATCATAAATAGTGAAGGTGGAAGATACTCATAACTTTTGACCAAGTGGCTTGTTTATGTTGGATTCCTTTTATGAGTTCAGAACATATACACCTTGTATAAGTGAAGAAAGAAGAAGGAATACATCCTATTGATAGAAGATTGGCAGAGGAATACTAAGTAATTAACTTCAGGATTAGTAATTTTCAATTGTTAGCATAGTTATCAAATTTTCTGTATAATTATCAATCGATGATTATTAACTAAAATTTGATTTATTACCCATGTATTGTTATTTATGCTTCATTGGTATGTAGATACTTAATTATGTACGGACCCTTCAGATGCAGAAAGAGTTACAGGAAACTACATAATGAAATCATATTCGTATCTGTAATTTCTACGTGCTGTTGTATCTATTGAATGCATCCATTAAATTGTGTTGATCCATCAAATTAGTTTTTTAATGATAACAAGCCCCAAATTGTGATGAGACAGGTACCATGCTTTTTGTGTGGGTTTTGTTCCAGAAGGTGTATCTGAGAGTTCATGGTTATGCCCAAGGTAATTCAGAATCAGAAGAACCAATATATTTTTTCTTGTCAGTCAACTTTGCTTAGTGTATTTTGTACTTGTGAATTTATCCCTTTCATATTTAGATTCTGGAATGTTATTAAAGTAAAATAAAGGGATAATGGATTTAACATTAATTCCTAATTCTGGTCTACCCTTAGATTAAGGGGTTCGGCAACATTCCCCTTCCTTGGAATCTGGATGAGATCAATGGTCATGTTATAAATCTTTATCTCAATGTAAAGAAGCGTCCATAATATTAATAATAAAAAAGGAAAGGAAAAGAAAAAAAGAAAAAAATAACAATAGGATACTCTAGTAAAATAATTACTAATTTTTACTACTTTAAAAAGTACAAATAGCCTCGAGAATATTTCTGGAATTTTCTGAAGACAAAACTTACCTCTCTATATTTAATTTTATTGATAAAAAATGAAGGCAAATAGGGTAGTTGGTTATTGATATTAAATGAGTTGAAAAGAGGTAATTTTAAGATTTTCAATGCATTCAATTCTCTCTCATTAAATCCAACATTTAAGGTATTAATTTGCATTCACCTTCATTGAATCATATATTTAAGGCTTTTTTTGTTTTTTCTCATCATTAAATTCTATAATTAAATCTATACATAATAAATTAATAATTTCAATAACATAAAAGCTTATACGTTTAATATCTACCTAGAAAAAATAGTGTTTTCATCTAGGTGGTGGTAAGAAATTAAACAATTTGGGTCAAATGGGCCAATCCATGTTGCCACAATTAAATAATAAAATTCAAAAATATATAAAATATAAAAAAATATAGAATTTAAAAAAATGGGAACGTTTTTAACATTATATATTTGACATATTAAACAATAATAGGTATGATAAACAATGTTTTAAAAACTGACCCGGAGATCGACCCGCTTTTGCCTTTAGGTCACAGGTCACCGGTTCGACTATCAAGGTCAAACCGTTCTGTGCCAACACTATGTGTGGGTGGGTAAAAAGTATATATTTTATCAATAAATAGTATAATTATATTGTACATATATTACATATAATATATGCATTATGTTACATTTATTTATGTTTTTTAATTTAGATTTTATTTTATTTTATTTATAAAAAATATTAAAATTGCAATTTGGGGCAAGAAAATGGGTTTTCTCGTGAAAATAGCAAGGCAAGGCGCCTAAGACCCTTGGGACGTATAGATCTTGAAAAGTTACTCAAAATAAAAAAAAAGATAACCCCAATCAGACATCAAAGTGCAAAGTTATGGCTTCCAAAAGTTTGCATATAATTAAGTGCACAACTTGCAACCTGGTTACTGGGTCGAATAGGGCAATGGTTGAACCGCCCGGGTTAGACGGTTTTTAACTGGGGAGTTTCAACAGAACTAAACCCAAGATCAAGGCAGCTAGGTCAACAATAGGTTGAAAGCATTGATGATAAATAAGAAATATTTTTTATTAATGATGGAAATGGAATGTAAAATTTATTTAAAACCAATTGGAAGTAAAACTATTTTCCTATTATCTCTCATTAAATCTCATATATAAGGTATATTCTCTTATTAAATCCTATATTTAAGATATATTTTTCTCATTTTTAAATTCTACTAATTAAATCCACAACTTTAATTTTAATAGTATAAAAATAAATATTTTGAAAAATAATTTGAAAACAAAACCATTTTCTTCCCTCTTGGTGGTGGGTAAGCAATTCAACCATTTGGGGTCAAATGCATTAATAAATAATGCCATAATTAAATAATAAAAAATAAAATATATAATACAAAAAATTAAAAAGAATTGGGCATGTCACTAATGCTGTATATTCATTATACTGAACAAAAATAAGTATGAAATGTAAGAAGTATTTTTATAAATGATGAAAATGGAATGCTAAAATTAAAATCATCCTAGAAACGAAACGATGTCATAGTCAAATAATAAAATATTTAAAAATAGAAAATACAATGCATCACAAAAATAAATGTTGTACATAAGATATAATTTTATATACTTATAAAAAATAAAATGTTGGGTACATCTATAATATTATACATTTATTATATTGAACAAAAATAAATATTATACATAAGATATAATTTTGTCAATAATGGAAATGTAATACAAAATTTAATGTCAACCTAGAAACCAAACTTTTTCTTTGGGTCGTGGGTTAGTGGTTTAGGTCAAATGGATTAATTGATGATATGATAGTTAAATAATAAATATTTAAAAAGTAATAAAAAGGTACAAGTAATCAAAAGAATATAAAAAATTATATATTAATTATGTCAAACAAAATTAAGTGTGATAAGTAAATATTATTTATATAATGTAGATGAAATATATAATTTAAAACTGATCTGAAAGCAAAGCTATTTTCTTATTTAAATGATGGGTCAATGATCCAACTTTTCAAAGAAATTCATGATGTCATAATTGAATAATAAATATTTTAAAAAAATATCGAACACAAAAATACAAAAGTATAGAATTTTTTCAAAGACATTTCGGAGCATTTCTAATGTTACATAATCATCATATTAAATAAAAATAATTGTTAAAATAAAAATTATTTTATTTAAGACAGAAATGGAACACAAAATTTAGTAATTATTGTAATTTAAAATTTTTGCATGTGCACATTTAGTACAAGTATTTAAGTTTATTTTTAGTCATATTGTTACTTTTGTTAATTTTCAATTTATATCTTAACTATGATATATCTAAAGTTCAAGTAATTAGTATGAAAAAAAAATTCATATAATTACTAGTCATCCAAAGTATACAGTAAGGTAATTAGGGAAGAATGGTGGCAACTAAGGAAAAATAAGTCTTTACTTGGTTCCCATTCATATGATACAGCTAGACTGATTGCTTGGTTATGTATTTATTTTACTTTTAAGGATCTTGTATGTAGGATCTATGGTATGGGTTTCTCTCAAATTTCCCCCTTGAATCCTTGCATGCATGTGAGCTGTGTAGTGTTGGCAGGATTTCCCATTTTCTTAAAGAATACCCCAGGTGTCATTTTGTTAACCATCTGTTATTATTATTTTTTGGTTTACATAGGTGTGTAATTGATGAAGTGCCAAAAAAATCAGATGTGATTTCAGTACAAAGACCAAACAACCAATGTGATCCAGATATTGTTCAAGAACATCCTGTTGATGCTATGTTTTCTGGAAAGGTATCAGTCTCGGTTGCTGATACTGGAGAGACAGCTGTTGTGGTCTCAATGGTTGGAGAAATGCAGTTGGATGGAGGATCAAGTGAGGACTTTCTGTCACTCCTAGAAATCAACAAGGACCCAAAGATAGAAACATTGTTAATTAATTCCAATGCAAGTAGTCCCAAGCTGGAAGCACAATTAAAGGAGAGTACTAGTATTCAAACAAATGTTGGGGCAGAGGAAACATCGTTAGCATTATCATTAACACAAAACCCATCCTTCACTTTATCTGACAACTCTTCTGTTCTTAGTCAGTTTGATACAAAAAATGTTGATAATGAGATTTGTGAACCAAACGGTCACAGTGAGTGTGAAACTTCTTCGCATCTCCTCTATGCTAAATCCTTTTTTAAGATTGAACCATCTGGAACTGAATCTGATATTGATCTTCATCTTGGCTTATCTTTTGGATCTTCTTTGTCAGGTAATCATCCATCATAAGATTTATCAAAAAAAAAAAATCCATTATAAGATTGTATCTTCTATCCTAATTTTAATCCAGTGGTTTATGGTGTGCATCTGAATTCTTTATATGTTTGACATATTCTACTTCTTTATTGAAATTTTGAAATGATTCTAGTTGACAAGGTGGATGATGCAAATATAGTGGCTGGGGATGTACAGCAGCACAATTCTTTAGAAGAATCCTCTTTGTCAGGTATAGGAGTATTGTGTGGCTTCTACTTTTCTTTCTTTGCTGAAAGGACTATTACCCAATGCCTGTCTCAGCTATCCAGGGCATTGGGAGGGATAGGCTGGATACGTGAAACCTATCTTTTAAAACCACAACTAGATCAGCCACTGGATGTCAATTCACTAACCAGAGTTTCTAAACAGTTTTTTATCTCAGATCCAGATATGCATACAAAAGTTTGAATTTACTGGTTGAAAACTGTCCAGATTAGTCATAGGGACAATTTAAACCTTAGCCAGGACTTGATATATGATGTTTACTTGAGCTCAATAACTTGTCTTGATTGACTTGGTAAACCTGCAAGTTGACCCAATTGGCTTGTCTTACTGATACCATCCACATTTTAAAACATTTTGTTCAACTTGTAATACTACTTTTCTTACATTAGCTCATTCACCTCTTTGCTGCAATTTTTCAGTTGACAGGGTGGATGTGGATCCTAATGATAATGTGGGTGTTGATGGAGTAACTAGCTTGAAGAGAAAGTTTACAAGTTCCAGGTCACTAGTCATTAAAAGAGCTTTACTTTTTTCCTGTTAAACAACTTCTTGGTTGTTTACTACTACTTACTAGCATCCAGCTATTGTTTTCTTGGATTACAACTTTAAACATGCACACACCTGGGAAGATTCTTTTAAAGCTACGTTTTGTTTGGATTTAGGCAGCAGTTGCAATTATAAACACTTTTTCTCTTAGACTGGACTTTCATGTCCAAAGAAAGCCTTGATTACCAAAGAGGTGTTCCTACTTCCTACAGTCTTCTTAATTCAATAGTGGAATCTCTGTTTTGTTTTTCTTGTTCAAATGTAGGGGAATACTGACATTAACATGACCTCTTATGAAAAATTAGGATAGAAGATACATTAACATTTTGTTTTGTCACTCTCGGTAGACATGTGGGTTGCCTATTTCCTTCTACATGGTTAACCATTAAACCTAAAATGAAAAACAACAACTTTGAAATAGAAAAGTAAAAAAATAAAATAAAATAAACATGCAACCTATCTGCTGTCAGTTGGTAAACAGTATTTGGGAGCTTTTTTTTTTTTTTTTACTTTATTTGATGCTAGGTGGTTCCTCCTGTTGGATGAAGCCACTTTGTTTTGACTATGCCTTTTCTCCCCAAGAAAGAAAAGAGGGAAAACCTTGTGGAGATGTACAAGAGTGGCCCATAATATGGACCATTTGGGAGGAATGAAATGTGAGAACATTCCAAGGTAAACATCAGTCTAGGATCAATAATTAGCTTGATGAATGTTAGAGTCATTGATTGAATTTAAGACAAGAGAAGACTTCTCCTTTACTACAAATGATATCCTTAGAGTCTGGTCTACTGTGGCATCAACATCATCTACATGCTACAGACCCATTATAGCATGGTTCTCCACCCCATTGGTAGGGGTGATCATGGGCCAAGCAGAGCCAGGCTTTTGAGCCTAATATTCATGGTTTTTAAAAACGAACCGGTGACCGAACCGATCAGGGGTCCGGTTACCGGTTCGAACAGTCCGACCGTTCGACCCGAACGACCGGCCCGTTCTGACAAAAAAATAAAAAAATGTAAAAATTGAAAAACGGTCAAAACCGTTCGAACGGTTCGAACTGTTAGCCAGCCGGTTCAGTGGCTTGCTGACCAAAATCAACGGTTTTAGAGGAAAAAGCGGTTTTGGAGGAAAACAGAACCGGTTAGGTGACCGGTTCCCGGTTTTTCCGGTCCGACCGTCCGATTCGGTCCGGTTTTGAAAACAGTGCTAATATTTTAAATATAGAATATAAAATATAATATGTATTATGTGTCATATTGCATGTATATATATATAATGTTGATGTCAATGGAAAAACATTGTGAAATCTGCAAAATATAGAATGATATTTTATGAAATGATAAAAGAAACATAGGTGCACATTTAAATAACTGTCTTGTCGCAAAACATAAAAGAAGCTAAGAAACTGAGGTTAATAGACAGAATAATATGTTGCAAAGTTGTCCTGTGAACTGCATGATAGAGTGACTTCAAGCAAATGATTCTAATACACCGACCAAATAATCTATTACACAAACAAAACTAAGATTTAATCTTCATATTTGAAAAGAATTTTGAGCTGGCTCAAAGTAGTAATCATGTTCATTAGGCAGGCTATAATAATGCTACTCCACATGTCTACAATATTGTTGCCAACTTATGTTGTACCATCTCTTAACTCCACATAGTGTTGATACACTAATGAATATGTCAATTCCAGTAATATTTCGTGTCAGTACCCATGGAAATGGAAATGTCATGTAAATATTAGGAAATATATGGATATTTTAAACCATGTTTGTAGGCCAGGCTAGGCCTAAAGTATTGGGCCCAGGCCCCACCTAGAAATTTCTAGGCCTTGACACAACACCTAAAACTTCCAGGTGGAGCTACAAATTATCACCCCTACCACTGGGCATAATTAAGATGAACTTTGATGGCTGTAGAGTAAACCCTGGGGATTCAGGTATTGGTAATGTGTTTATGAACCATGAAAGGGATATTATACTTTATTTATTATAAAAGCAATAAAATTTGTAGTGTGAACTACCACAGAGCTCTTTACTTACAGCAGTTATTTTGTTTACTGTACTACTGTAGATTTTCTAGATGAGGTTCTGGTGTGATTTTTATTATGATACTGGTTTTACGTATTCAAGTGGCCATTGCTTGGTATAATGATAAAATTTTGGGGTGACAAGTGTGAGACATGGGTTTGAGTCTGAGAGCAACCACTTTGCATAAAAAATTGCCAAAGGGTAGGACTATCCGGTCCACCTCTCCAAGATCTCAGATAGCTGGTGCCAACATCGGGTAATGGCCTTTTTTTCCTGGTTTTACATATTCAGGATTTATGTTTTATTTAGTAATATAATATTGTGATATTAATGACCTTAGCATGCTCCAGCCCTTCTCCTGGCAAAAAAAGGAGCACATTAATTGAGTATGTGAATGCATATGTTACCTGGATTCTTGAAGATGGGTTTGACTTGCTCTGTTTCACTTGGTTTTTTGATGGATATAAGTTTAGTTAATGATAGTGTGTCCGTGCCAGGTACTTTTTTTTTTTTTTTTTGATAAATATCAAGGTACTTTATTTTTTCAATGCATATTATTTCCATGTCAAGTCCCTGCCATATCTGGTGAAACAGATGAGTGATATTCTTTAGAAACTTTCTTCCCCTTTCCAATCTTGCACAGTCTTGGGGGGCCTCAGGGGGTATTCTAACAATTTGGAAAAACGAGGATTTGGACTGTAGAGAAGAATTAATTGGTAACTATACGGTTATAGTGAAATTCAGAAGAAGAATTGATGGATTGGAATGGGCTTTAACAAATGTTTATGGGCCAAATTTGTATAGAGAAAGGGAGGAGTTTTGGGAGGAATTAACAGCTATAAGGGGATTGTGGGAGGGTCCGTGGTGCTTGGGGGGGGGGATTTTAATGTCATCAGGTTTGTAACTGAAACAAATAACCCCAACCATAGGATCACCTCAAGTATGAGGAAGTTCAACCGTTTTGTGGATTCTTTTGAATTGGGGGAGCTACCGTTGGTGCAAACTGATTTTACCTGGTCTAATTTTCAAGAAGAACCCCTTTGTTGTAAACTAGACAGATTTTTATTCTCTTTAAATTAGGAGGAAGTATGGGGTGGTTTGGTGATGAGGGCACTACCTAGACCTACGTCGGATCATTGTCCAATTAGACTATCTTAGGAAAGACTAGGAGGAGGACCTGCCCCTTTAGATTTGAAAACATGTGGTTGTTACATCTAGACTTTCAAAAGAAAGTGAAAGAATGGTGGGAAGAGGATCAGGTGGAGTTTAGATGGAAGGGATATAGATTTTATAAGAAGCTACAAAAGCTAAAAGCCAAGACCAAAGCTTGGAACAAAGAAGAGTTTGGTAGAATTGAAGACAGAAAGGAGGCTATTAGTAAAAGGATTCAAGAACTTGATGTTGCTGAGGTAGAGAGAGGATTGAGTCGTGAAAAAAGGGAAGAGAGATGGAAGTTGAAACAAGATTTGGAGGAAATTCTCAAAAAAGAAGAGATAAGTTGGAGACAAAAATCAAGATGCAAGTGGTTGAAAGAAAGAGATGGTAATACAAGATTTTTCCTTAGCTTGGCAAGTGGAAGTAAGAGGAAGAACATAGTGAAAAGTTTGGAATGGAATGGGGCAATGTTGACAAGAGAGGAAGAGATTGCAAAAACTTTTGTGGAGCATTTTAAATCCATTTATGACAGCCCCAGTAGAGTAAGAGAGACTCTAACCGACTTTGAGTGGCATGTTGGAGAAAGGGAATTGTTGGAACCCCTGGAAAGACCGTTTGAGGTTCAAGAAATAAAGGAGGCTGCTTTCTCTATGGCAAGATCAAAAGCCCCAGGCCCGGATGGATTCACTATGGCTTTTTATCAAGACTATTGGAACATCTTAGGTGATGACCTAGTGGAGGTCTTCTTGGAATTCTTTGAAAGAGGAAAAATAAATGCTGGTGCAAATGATACTTTCATAGCTTTGATTCCTAAGAAGGTGCCTGCAGTTCAGCCCAAGGACTTTAAACCGATCAGTCTGATTGGGAGTCTGTATATGATCATTTCTAAAGTTCTTGCACTAAGACTCAAGAAAGTCCTTCCTTCCTTAATCTCACCGAATCAAGGGGCATTTGAGAAAGGGAGACATGAAGGGATGGGAGTTCCATCATATGGATGGCCGAACCCTGTAGGAAGGTTGGGCGAAATTTCAAAAAATTTCTTTACCCCCATCYGGGAATACTATTACCAATTTAGAAAACTCAATTTTCAAGGTTCGTTCTTGTAACCAAACCGGACCAAATCTGAAACCAAGATTAGGGAGGGATATACCTGATACGGAATCCACGCAAAAAGCTCCTCCCAACGTAGGTGTTTATGCCCAAAGAGTGTACCAAATCCTCCCTCCACTGAAGATGACACAACTTAGGATGAGGTAGGATCAACAGGTAGTTCTTCACCAAGAACTTGTGATTCTTTAGCAAGAATCGAATGGGGTAGTGAGCACAGCTTCAAAATTGTTTCTTCTAGCAAGAAACGATATCAAGATCAAATCTTGATCAGATCCAAGAATTGGAGATCGAACAAGGTAGGGCGGCAAGAGCAGGGAGAAAAAGCACTAAAGGCAAAATCAGTCAAACTGAGTTGTCTTCTGTAATGTCTGTGTGTCTTTTTCAGATCCGCCCTGCTCTCTATTTATAGCCTTAAAGAGACAACCTCCTAATCTAATTAGGAGTCTCTTGATCCAAATCTTTATTTGGATCTGGACTCTTTAAGTGATAAGGATAATCCCTTATCTATAGATAAAGATCAACTTATTCATAATCAAATTAGGAGTTCCCTGATCTAAATCTTTATTTGGATCTAGACTCTTTAAGTGGATAAGAGTTATCCTCTTATCCTTATCTGCTAATCCAAACCCAAATCCGCCCCTATTTAATTGATCCAGTTAACCCAGTTCGATATGGGCTTTAAGCCCATTAAGCTTTCAGGCTCACTTCCTTTTAATGCTGGCTAGCTTGGCTCTCTTTGTATGGCATGGGACCCTAACATTGATCTACACATCAGCCACATGAGTTCAGCCTAGCCTTTGTTACAAGGCCTGGCCGAATTCACTGCTGAATACAGTGAACCCCCTGAGTCCATCACTATGGGCTCTTAATGGGGCCAACATTTACACTAAATGGTCCTTGGGTCCAGCCATCTTATGAAGGCCCAAGGACTGTGGGCAGATGCAAGATTAGCCCATCAGGTATAACCCTCAATGGTCTTACACTTAACTTCTCAGCCCTTAATGATCAAACACTGCCCCGACAAGAGAGGACCTCTCCCTCGGATGCAAGGTACAATACTGCACTCTCTACTCACATGGATCCTGGGAATTAAAACCTTTTGCAAACAATTTGTGAAACCATAATATATAAGTATATCTCTATATAAATATATTTTGCAAAACCAAATTTCAAACACATTTGAAATCCATTGCCGGCAGTTTAGGTTTCCATTAGAGAGAGTGCATTTTCCTGATCGTTCACTTTGTCCGACAAATGTGCTGATCTTGTCACTTTGATCACCCACTCAGATGAATTCTCGGGTTGTCCCAACATACCTAGGTTTTGACCCCTGCTAAGGATCTCACTGTTTGGCACATCAAAGACAGCCCAATCCGACACCTAGTGCAGTATCATAATCGAGTCTAGGGCTTAGGCATAACATTCCAGTTTTGCCCATCTGTCTCCAAGGTCTAGGGCAATACTGGAATTTGGTCCGGTTCAGGGTTTTAAGAAAACCCACACTGCATGTACCTCAGGTCTCACCCTGGCAGTTGAGACAAGCCACCCCAACCAACTTGGCGGTACATCAATGTCAGCCTTGGCAGGATAAGTCTCCCCATATCTATCCAACGACTGTGAAGATTCTAAACTAACACGAATCTCATATTTGTCCAGTTTAAGGGTATTACACAAAAACATACCACAATAACATGAATCAAATATTGTACTTTATTCATTTACAATAAATGTCATAATGTACATCATGCTGATTGGAGCTAAGGGCATACACTATCTAACAAGACAAATTATTGATCAGATTTTAATAGCTAATGAATGTGTGGATTACAAAAAAAGGAAAGGAGAAAAGGGTTTGTTTTGTAAACTTGACTTAGAAAAGGCTTATGATCTGGTGGATTGGGATTTCTTGCTAGAAGTGTTGAAGAATAGAGGCTTTGGGGAGAGATAGTGTAAGTGGATGAAGGGTTGTATTTACCTCTTGTCACTTAGCAATCTTAGTGAATGGAGTAGCTAGGGACTTCTTTCTTGCAAAGAGGGGCTTTAGACAAGGAGACCCTTTGTCACCTTTCCTCTTCACCTTAGTAGTGGATGTCCTAAGTGTCTTGATTTCTAGGGCTGATTCAAGAAATCTACTAAAAGGATGGAGAGTTGGGAGGCAACAAGTGATTGTTACTCACCTATAGTTTGCGGATGATATCATTCTCTTTTGTGAAGGGGAAATTGAGGTGATGGATAATTTGAGATTGGTGATGATGCATTTTGAGAGAGTCTCCAAACTGAAAATCAATTGGAACAGGAGTTGTGTAGCGGGGGTGAATTTACGGAATGAAGTGCAGTTGGTGGCTAGGGCTTTGGGTTGTGAGGTAAGTGGTTGGCCTTTGGTATATTTAGGTCTGCCCCTGGGGGGAAACCCCAGAACAGAAAACTTTTGGTACCCAGTTTTAGAAAGATTCACTAAGAAGCTAGTAGGGTGGAAGAGAAATTATATCTCACTAGGGGGTAGAATCACTTTAATAAGGTCCACTCTAACCAACATTCCGGTGTATTTTCTGTCTACCTTTAAGCTTCCTTCCAAGGTTGCCAATAAGTTAGAAAAGCTCATGAGAGATTTTCTGTGGGAACCAGGTGACTCAAAAAATGACCATTTAGTGAAGTGGGAAGTAGTTTCTAGGAAAAAGGAAGCGAGGGGTCTAGGCATTGGCAATATCAGATTAAGAAATGTAGCTTTGTTAGGAAAGTGGTTGTGGAGATTTCCTTTGGAGCAGGACAGTTTGTGGCACTTGGTGGTGAAAAGTATTCATGGGATGGCAACTAATGGATGGGATGTTGGCGTCRACCCTAGGGCTTCTCATTTTTCCCCTTGGAAAGCAATTATGGAATCTTGTCTTCCTTTTAGCCTTTCATCAGATTTGATGTGTGCTTAGGTAATAAAATTCTGTTTTGGGAGGACCTTTGGCTTGGGAACACCCCCCTTAAGGATAGATCCCCGGTAATGTATTCTCTTTCTCTAAATAAATTCAAAACCATCTCCTCACTTTGTGTGTCTGAGGGGGCTTGGGATTTGGGTTTGAGAAGAGGGTTGAGGGACTCAGAATTGGCTTCTACAGATGAGTTATTCACTGTGTTGAATTCAGTTTTCCTAGATCTTTCCTGCCCAGATAGTAGAATTTGGAAAGAGTCCTCTTTAGGGACTTTCTCTTGTTCATCTTTTTTCAACGCCTTAGTTCAGTCTTCTTTTATGTCTGACTCATTTCCTGCTAAAGAAATCTGGTATTCTCCTGTGCCGCCAAAGGTTAGGGCTTTTTGCTGGGTAGTGGCTCTTCAAAAGATCAATACTATGGATGTACTTCAAAGAAAAAGGCCAGACCTTTCCCCACATGTCTGTTATCTTTGCTTAAGAAATGGTGAGACAGCTACTCATCTTTTGATTTCTTGTCCTTTTGCTTATTATTTGTGGGATTGGTTCTCTTCTTTGTTTGGTTACAGATGAAACCCCCCCTCGGGTGTGCTGAACCTTTTTGACTCTAGCTTCTTCCGACAACCAAGGAAAAGGGGCAGAGTAATGTGGAGAATAACAAGAGCAGCCATCCTATGGTCAATTTGGGAAGAGATAAACAATAGGATCTTCCTAGGGCAAGAAAAATCCAAGGAAGCACTTGTGGAGGTTGTCACCATCAAGGTTATGCATTGGCCGAATGTACACCATCTCTTCAAGGACTTCTCCTCAGCTGACTTAATTAGAAATTGGGGTGCTATAGCTATATCCTCGCCTTCCTCCCCTGTGGTACAAGAGTGTTGGGTACCACCGCCTCAGTTCAGGGTGAAACTAAACTTTGATGGAAGCTCCTTGGGTAATCCAGGTCAGTTGGGAGTTGGGGATGTGTACAGAAACGTGGAAGGAAAAGTCTTGGCCCTTTACTCGGGCCCAATTGGGGTGGGAGATTCATTAAGGGCAGAAGTAATGGCCTTACTTTCAAGGTTTGAAACTGGCGAAACAATGGGGAATGCAGCAATTAGAAGTGGAAGGAGACTCCAAGCTGGTAATAGGGTGGATGCAAGCTGGAAACCTGGGAGTGTGGTCTCTTAGACAGCCTCTAAGAGAG